GGGGGGGATAATACGTGTTAAATTTTTTTTTGACAAATGTGTTAAGATTATTGGTTAAAAATCATTTGTTTTCTTTATTTTATTAAATATGTTTAACTTGGTTAATTCCCTAAGAGCATCGTCATCCCTTATTTTACAATTCATGCATCCAATCATTCTATCTCATCCATGTCATCTCCACATCATCCATTTTTTAATACCATATATTTTAAACAAACACTCACAACCCATTTCATCCATCGATCTATCCAGTTAATTGTTCATGGGTCCCACTTCTACCCATTTCCTCCAATCCATCCATCTTCTATCTCCATCCAAATGTTTAAACATATTATCCTATCTCTCCATCCGACATATCATCTACAATGGTTTAAATACTTCCATGCATCCATCCATTCATATTATTAAATGGTGGTTGGACGGCACTAATGGAGATGCTCTAAGTCATGTGCTAGTGGACCTAAAATATAGGGAGTTATTGTTATTTTCTTGTCTAAAAGTATTGAGTCTTATTATATGGAAAAAATATCAAATGATTAATGCAATGTTTGATTTTGTCATTGGAGATTCTTCTTGGGCTTTGTTAGAAATGAGTTTATGATTCTTGCTCATATTTTGATAAAGATTTTCCTTCATATTTATTATTTTATGTAGTTAGATCCTGATTTCATAATTTAACAGATTATCCTTCCTTGATTCTGTCTGCCTATCTTGAATTCTTCGGAGTATCAAATTATTCAAATATCCACAGACTCCACCTCGTTTGCATAATGTTCATCTGGTATTTTTTTGGATGAACTTGATGTTCACGATTCAGTGCATCTCCCATGTCTGTTGTGGTACTGATTTTAGTCGAATGAATTGAATATCCACTTCACCCGTGTAGCGTTCATATGAAATTCTTTTGTAGAATTCGATATTCTCTATTCCTTGTATGATTTGTATCTCTCTCTCTCTCTCTCTCACTCAGCAATGAATAGCCCTTTTCAAAGATTTTAGATTCCCAAAAATAAATACATGCATTTCCCCATCTTGTCAAAAGCTGAAATCTACCACTTGTCTTAAATTTGAAATTGCAGGAACTGGAAAATCCAAAAGCTTGCAGAACTTGTCCATGCAACTCAGGAAATGTTGCAATCACCCATACCTTTTTGTGAATCAGTATAATATGTGGCAAAAGGAGGAGATTGTAAGAGCATCTGGGAAAATTGAGCTTCTTGACCGGTTACTTCCCAAACTCCGTAAAGCTGGACATAGGGTCCTCCTTTTCTCACAGATGACCCGTCTCATGGACATTCTTGAAATCTATTTGCAGCTGAACGAATTCAAGTATCTTAGACTTGATGGTGGAACAAAGACAGAGGAAAGAGGTTCTTTGGTGAAACAATTCAATGCCCCAGATTCCCCGTACTTCATGTTTCTCCTCAGTACTCGTGCTGGTGGACTCGGCCTGAATTTACAGACAGCAGATACTGTGATAATCTTTGACAGTGATTGGAATCCTCAAATGGACCAACAGGCAGAAGACCGAGCACATCGAATTGGGCAAAAGAATGAAGTCATGGTTTTTGTTTTAGTTAGCGTGGGATCAATCGAAGAGGTCATCTTGGAGCGTGCAAAACAGAAGATGGGTATTGATGCTAAAGTCATCCAGGCAGGACTGTTCAATACAACTTCCACTGGTGTGTCTGTCTTCCAAAAATCATGACTCTGATTATAATCTGTCTCTACTGTGGACATATTTGGCTTCTTTTTTATAGAGTGTAATCAGTATTATTTAATTGCTTATGCAGCTCAAGACAGGAGAGAGATGTTAGAAGAGATCATGCGTAGAGGTACAAGCACCCTGGGGACTGATGTGCCAACGGAGAGAGAGATCAACAATCTTGCGGCGCGGTCAAAGGAGGAATTTTGGCTGTTTGAGAAGATGGACGAAGAGAGAAGGCAAAAGGAGCGCTACCGATCCCGTCTCATGGAAGATCACGAGGTTCCAGACTGGGCATACGTTCGGGCCGAATCCAACCAAGGAAAGGGAAAAGGGTTTCTATACGACAGCGCAAACCTAAACGGGAAGAGGAAGAGAAAAGAGGTTGTGTATGTCGACACGCTGAGTGATCTCCAATGGATGAAGGCTGTGGAGGATGGAGAGGAATTTCTGAAGCAGTCAGGAAAGAAGAGGCGTGCCGCTGCTGCAGAGGATCCGTTGCCCAGCAAAACGCCGCATGATCAAGATCAGCAGGGGGTTGATTCTTCTTCGTTACCTCCCCCTCCTCCTCCAAGTAAATGGAGCGACCATCTCAGTATTAGTTTTTCAAGAGGAGAGGAGAAAATGAAGAAGGGACACGATGAAGCTGCTTTGCAGGTAAATGAGGAGGCACCAACAACACCAACAACAACCAGCGAAGGCGAAGAAGACGCCATTGGAACAACCCCACTAAAAGGGTATCATAATATTAATAATAAACCAGGAGCTGCTGCTGCTTCTGCTGCTGCCCCACCATCACAGAGGAATGAGTACACCGGCTTCACTGGTAATTTGGAAGGACCGACATGGAAGTCGCTCAAGAGGAGGCGATCTAGCTTGCAATAATGAAAACCATTTCTCCCCCCTCTTTCAACTTTGGCGTCCAAAGGTTGGTGGCTATACTGAAGCAAATTAGCAGTAGGCCAAAATGATAAGGCAGATCTTGTTGATTGTTGTTATCACAATCAAGTAACACAGCCTCTGGTATTTGTATCCTAGTTTAGTTTCTGTACGTATGTTTGTGTGTACCATTTTGCTCACAAATAAACACTCCCTCATCGCCCCTCTCCCTTTACTAACTATTCATTTTTTTTTTCTATTTCCAAAGTCTGTGTAAACTATAGAAAACATTTAGGTTTTTAAAACATTTTATTCTCCTACTATACTTACTTTTGCCTACTTGGTGTGTCCTACCTAGCGCACTCTGCACGCAAGCACATCGTCAATATTTGTCCAATGACACTCTTTATAATCTACATCAATCCCAATTTATTTCGCTAGTTTGACTTTTTTGAGTCAAACTTGACAAGTTTTAAGCTTCAATTGCTTTGGATGTGTATTGCGTATTAGAACAGTTAAATAATATTTTAAAGGTTTTCAATAAGATAAATCTAGTAAAATCAATTTTATACTAATATATAATGAAATTTTTGTTTAATTCAAGCTCAGAGTTTATTTTGTTTGATTCAAAAAGTCAAACTGAACAAATACATTAAGACGGAGAGAGTATATGCTAACACTATGAAATTTGAATGGGAAAAGAAAGTAAAATGATATGAAAACAAAGTTTTTCTTGTTTGATTAGAGAGGAAAAGAAAAGAAAAAATAGGAGAAAATGAAAATGAAAGGGAAATAACCTAAGAAGGAAAATAATTTCCTCCTTTTAGTGAGTAAAAAAAAGGAAAATCTGATAACGTACGCTTTCTCTCAGGAGGTCATGGTACGGAGTAATACATAGAAGCCGCGTGTTGCCACATCAGTTTTCTAGGCTCGAGCCCAGCCAAATCGTATAGTGGGCCAAACAGTTAAGCCCAAGCCTGGACCACATGGGTACTTGCAGACTTCGGGCTAGCCTGGTTTGCATAGGCAACAACTTCTAAAAAGTTTAAAAAATACTTCCTCCGTTCCTAAATAAACTTCCATTTTTGACTTTTTGTGGATTTAAGAGAGGGATATTTTTATGTTGACTTTCCAAAAATACCCTTGATGTGATGTGTAAAAGTAAGATGTGATAGGTAGATTATTAGTAAAAAGGTATGATGTGATAGGTAGGGTATGAAAAAGTAAGAGGTAAAAAGGGTTTTTTAAGAGAAAAGAGAAGTTTATTTAGAGACAGAGAAAAAACGAAAGAGGAAGTTTATTTAGAGACGGAGGGAGTATTTTTTTGATAAGGTAATGCGTAAATTTATTAGATATTTGATATAATATGTATACTGAGTATACCATAGAGCGATTGATATATAAAATATGTTTTGTTTGATAATAATATTACTAATATTTATAATAGATGTTTTGTTTGATAATATTAGTATTATTTTTTTTGTGACATAAGCTAGTGACAACAAATTGTAAAACAAAAAGTTAGATGATTGATATTGATATTAAAAGTAAGAAAAGATAAGATCAGATAACAGTATTGATATTGATATTAAAACTAAAAGTTAGAATTTACAACAAATAAAAAGAGACGGTAATATTAAAAGAAATAGGGTAATAATTATTTTAATAAAACGACATGCAATTATGCTTCAAATTCTCACCTTATGACATACTCAATTTTTTAATGCTTAAAGTATGCATCATCATCGATCTTTAAGTTGACAATCAGAAAGAATACAAATTTAAAGTTTAAGAGAATAATGTACATAATATATATATTGTTTTAATATTATTAAAATATGGGTAATTTTGAAGGCACACATATATGTTTTCTTTATTTTTTCATTTGCCGCTCTAAGGTCATGGTTTGTTCACGTGATCTGAATGGTTCTGATCTGATTAGAATAAGTTCTGATCTAATCTAGTCTGCTCTGAATGTAGTTATATTTAAAGCTGTTTCTGATCTGATCTAAATGTAGTTATATTTAAAAGTGATACTTACATGGTCCTAAGGTCAACATTTAAAATGCAGTCCTCACATTTTTCATGAGCTTACGTGTGGATATTTTCTTTTTTTGAAAAGGCTCACTTCTTTTATATTACAAATGCACTAAGGTCCATATGGTGAGCACGAACTTAAGTCTACAGAAGAATTTACTTATATTTAAAGCTCTTTCTGATCTGAACTGAATGGATTCCAATAAATAAATAATAAAAATAAATTGAAGAGAACATAACTCATAACAAACACATATATAGTCCCATTTTTTTTCCTACAACGATTGTACATTTATTTGCTTTATGTGGAGGTTGCCGTTTAGCATCGCCCAAAATAAAAGCTCTGGCATGGGAACAATGAACATTAATTACGAATCAAAATGATCATTTATTATGGAGTTGCAATCTAATGATTGAAAATTGTCGATCGATATATACATGATGAGCATGTTGAACAAGAATATTCCTTACATTCATACTGAACTTTTTTTTTGAAAGACTTATATATTGAACTAGCTACAGAGTATTGTATAAACTATAAAGAATGTAATTTTTTAAATATTTTAAAAGCTAATTAAATATATATTGTCAAACATCATAGATATATTTATTTAAATAATTTTTGATACTCCCTGTATTCCAAAGATTGGTCAATTAGTTGTGATGGAGAAAATAAATTACTCCGTACATGTTTTTACATGTTTTGTTTGTCTCAATTCTCGACAATTTGTTTTTGAAAAATAATTTGATGCAACATTTGAAGTTGTGTGTTAAAAATGTAACTTATTCGTAGTTGGGATCAAAGTAGTAAGGTGGCGAGAACGCTAATCATAATGACCAAATATAATCTATTGAAATTTTAAAACAGGTAAATAACACGGGTAACAGTGTAACACCCATAAGTCATAGTAGCATACTTTAATTGTCCATCCATAATACTCACAATATTGTAGACTATGAGTTTATATCTAGACTAGACTAAACTAGCAAAAGAAAGGATAACAAGACCACACTACCAACTGCCAAATTCCAATCCAAAATCACCTTTTTGTGTGCAAAACTCTACCAAAAAAACCATCCAAAAAGGTGTGGAATGTAATGCATGACAAAATTCCAAAAGAGGCAATGTTTTGGTTAGGTGGTTCTCTATCCTAATACTTAAATATATATAATTGCAGTGGGACAAAAAGGAGTCACTTAAGCAAGCTAAGGTGCTAAGCTAAGTCTATGGGCGCCAAGCTCATGGTGTATGGGATGACAATGGGAGAGAACCAAGAGTTGGGCCCCAACGCGGAGACCGCGCAGACCCATTTCGCCTTCCCCGTTTCGAAATCAAACGCGTAGACGTCGGTCGATATCCTCAGCAGCAGCGTCGCGTCTTTGAAAGACAAGAGGTCGATCAAGAGGGACGACGAGTCGGTCGCTAGATGGCTCTCGAGTTTCTTGGACACTTGGTGCATGCACTTTGGGTTCTCCCTCTCCAGGTCCTCTGGAGAGACGAAGCGTTTGAGTGCCCAATGGGACCCGAACCGGTCCTCGAGTTCCCAAACTTGGAGCCCGTCCTGCGAGATCATCACGTACTGCACCCGCCCATGGGCCTCTCCCAGGCACACCCCGGGCGCAAAGTCCAGCCCAGAGGCCGGGAAAGGCCCGTGGACCAAGCAACAGAGCTCGTTCGCGAGGTCGAACATGAGGACGCGGTTGTCCTCCGTGAGCCAGTACGCGGTCCCCCCCTCCTCCTCCGCGAACACGCACCCCTTCCTCTGCAGCTTGTGGGCCCAAGTGCACCCCTCCCGCGACTCCCTCCACTCCTTGGCCCGCGACGAATATATCTTGAACCCGAACCGGTACCGAACCTCCTCTTCTTCTTCTTCTTCCATTGGGGTCTGGCAAACCGTGATGACCTGGAAGTCTGTGGAAATGCAGCCCCCATGGAAGGGCCGGAAAGCGAGAGCAGTGCTGCTGTCCTTGGGGGGATGGGGCGGCCATGGGAGGGCAGTCCACTCCCTATTCAAAGGGTTGCACACATAAATCTTGAGAGGGTTGGGAGAGGGGAAGCAGCTGCGGCAGCAGAGGAGGCCATTAATGGCGGACAGGAGGACGACTTGCTCCGGGAGAAAGCCCAGAACGCCCTTCTCCACCCTCGCCGCAGACTCCCTCCTCTCATTCTGGTGGGCCAGGAGGGGTATGTAGGTGAGGGATTTGATGTCGCCGTCGCACCACTGATACCTGCCCTGGAAGAAGAACCCGGAGAGCCTCTCCCCGGCGGCGGGCTTCATCTGGAGGCGGACAAATGTCCGGTCGGAGACGACGGAGTTCCATTCCTTGGAGACGAATCTCAGGCGGGCCAAGGCTCTGCAAGGAAGTCTGCTCAGAATGTCCGCCAGAAGGCTGCTCGGAAGCCACAGCTCTTTCTCGCCGCTTTCCACCACTGTAATAAAAACAAGAAATCCATTAAAAGTGAACCGCCATTAAAAAAATTGATCTGGGCTTTCGATTTCTCATCAAGAAACACACAACAACGGGTAAGAATCACAGGATAAATGCACTTTTGGAGCCATATGATATGATATGATTGATAAACCCTATTATATTGAAGAAATAAATAAACAGGTAAAAAACGCCATTGAAGCTCCTCCGATCATTCTCCAGTCTCCATAGCTCCTTGGGAAAATGGGACAAGATTTTCATGCAAGATTCAAAAAAAAGAAAAAGAGAAAGACCTTTGAGCTTCTGATTCCTCCTCTTCCTCATTCCGCTGTGGGATTATTCAGTGATAATCCCAAGACTGAAAATGGGAGCACGAAGAAGAAGGCTGGCCAGGGCAATTTAGGTATAATACATATATACACGAAGTGCGTATGTAAAATGTATATGAGCCATGGATGGTCTCTGGTCTGCTCTCTGCTCTCTGCTCTGCTCTGCTCCATGGATGGTACCTATAGCTGCGTGCCACCTCACCACCCCCACAACCGGGAAAATGCCAAAACGCCATGTTAATATAATATCCTCCGGTACGAAATTCCTTACACCCACCCACTCTTGGGTACCTTACTTGACCCACCCTCAATCCGTCCAAATTTTCAAATCTCACCAAATTACTCATCCACCCCTCAAAATTTGTAGTTAAAATTTGGCCAAATTGCTTCCATGCCCTTGTCATTTGGAAATTGTGTATCACTACTTACCTGTTTTCAAAATATATTTCTAAAATTTTTTTGGTTTCAAAACTTTGTACCCACGCCACTATTTTACTTCCCTTTTCCGCTCATCTTGATAGGAACATTGATGCTTACCACATGGAGAAACATAGCTCATTTCTTATTTTTCTTTTATTACGGAGTACTTTTTGTTTTTTCCTTTGTAACCCTTTTTTTCATCTCATTGTTTTCTTTTTTAAGAAAAGTTTTTAAAAAAATTCCTTTCTAATTTTTTATAATGTCCTAAAAAACTCAAAATTATTTATGTTTCAAATAAAAATAAAAAAGTGACATATACTTCATTTATCTCAAATTAAACATTTCCAAATTTTTTGTTTTAATTTTGAACAAAGTGCACATTTATTCATCAAAGTCCATAAAAAGTTCAGCCCTCAAGCAAATACATTCATCCCTCTGTATCACTATAAACTACTCGTATTTAGGATGTACAAAAGTAGATACATGAAATTTAAGATATTCAACACACTTCGTAATCAGAGAATCTAGAATAAAAATAAAAATATTAACAAATGAAATGAAATAATTCAAATATGCAAAAATACTCTTATACATAAAAAAAAAATTTGGAATGCCTTAAAAAGTCCTTAGGGTTAGGATGTCCAAAAAACGATATGGAGTTAAATTTCTCTTTTATTTTATTTTCAATTGGTATTCCTATTTTTTTTGAAATTCAAAAAAGTTTTACTTTTTTATTTTATTATGCATCATGATCTGCTGACACCAATGGTAACTGGTTCTATTGAATTATGATTTCAACTCAAGGAAATAATTGTCTACAAGATAGTTTATATAGATATAGATTCCTATATCAATTAGGATTCTCCAAGTATGGTAGTTAACTATGATAACAATCCTTCCATAACTACATCTATTACCATATCTATCTAACATCACCCTTCAAGCTGAACGCCATGAAACGAGAGGAAGCTTGGCGACCAATGCAGAGTAGCGCGGTGAAGAGAGAGCTTTTGTGAGAAGGTCTGCAAGTTGCTCATGAGAAGGAACATACGAGACCGTCATTTGTTCAGCAATCACTTGTTCTCATACAAAATGGCAATCAGTACCAACATGTTTCATTCTCTTGTGAAAGACAGGATTCTTGGTCAGACATATGGTGGACTGATTATCACAGAAAAGATGAGGTGTAGGAAGCTTAATCCGTAAGATGTCAAACAAATAGGTGAGCCACATTACTTCAGCTGCGATAGCCGAGAGTGCTCGGTACTCGGCTTCGGTGGAGGATCTTGACATGCGGCTTTGATTCTCCGTACTCCAAGAAATCAGATTTGAGCCAAAATATATCAAGTAGCCAGTAACAGAGCGTCCATCTGTCATATCATTAACCCAATCCGAGTCAGAGTATGCCTGAATGACGTGTGGACCACGACGGAATATTAACCCACGATCAATGGTTCCTTTTACATAGCAGAGGATGCGTTTTAAGGCCTGGAAATCCCACTCAGTGGGTGCATGCATGCGTTAACAGACATAATTCACAGCAAATTGAATATCTGGTCGTGTGTTGGTTAAATATTGAAGAGATCGAACTAGGCTACGGAAGAAGGTGGGGTTGGCAAACGAGGGACTCTCCCCGATGTTGGTTGGCCGAACAGGCAGCGGCGTAGGGGCTGGTTTGCAGTCCTCGATGCCGGCTTTATGCAGTAGTTCACGAGCATATTTCTCCTGAGACAAAATCAGACAATCTCGTGTGCGTGTCACCTTGAGTCCCAAAAATAGTGAAGAGGGCCGAGGTTCTTCATTTGAAACTCTTGTTGCATAGCCTGAATGAATGAAGAAATGAGGGATGAGGCGCTACCAGTAACAATGATATCATCAACATAGAGAAAAACGATCAGAACACCAGACGGAGAGTGCTTAACAAAAAAGCTTGTGTCATGTTCAATTTTCCCAAAGCCATAATCGACAAGGAAGCCGGAGAGACGTTGATACCAAGCTCTGGGTGCCTGTTTCAAACCATACAGAGATTTCTGTAATTTACACACATGATGAGGGTAGCGCTCATCGATATATCATAGAGGCTGCTTCATATAAATCTCATCAGGAATTACACCGTGGAGGAAAGCATTGGAGACATCTAACTGATGAAGAGGCCAGTTCTCATTAACAGCCAGAGAAAGAACCATCTGAATAGTCTGCTGTTTAGCCACTAGGCTGAAAGTCTCGGAGTAATCCAAGCCATATTCCTGTGTATATCCCTTTGCCACAAGACGTGCTTTGTACCTGGAAACAGAGCCATCAGAATTATGCTTAATTTTATAAATCTACTTACACCCAATCGGAACATGATCTGAAGGTGTCGGAACGAGATCCCACGTGTGTTGACTAATCAAGGCATTATATTCTTCATCCAGGGCCTGACACCAATAACAATTCTGGGAGGCTTCCTTATATGTGATCGGCTCTATGGTTGGTGGGAGAGAGGGCTGAGTGGAGGTGGAATATATTTTGGGTTTGAAAATGCCACTTTGTGCACGAGTTGTCATCGGGTGGCGTATGAGTGGTGGTGGGGGCGGGGAGGGGATAGGTG